GGGGGCGGGGGGCGGAAGGTGGAGGGGTCCGAGCCGTGGCCGTGGAGTGTCGTGGCTTGAGGGTGGCGCGGTGGGGCAGCGCACAGAAGGGTGGGATGCAGCAGCAGGCGGGATTTGCGCCTCGGCCTCAGTAAGTGCCCTCCTTTGGTGTTGTGTCCTATCCCTGGCGATGCCGTCGCAGCTGGGGCAGCAGGACTGGGTGGAGACCACCCGCAGCGGCGACGATGATGGCGGTGGCGGCGGCGGCAGCAGCTTGGGAGCGCGCCCGGGCGGCTCGGCCCCAAACGGCCGTTCGGGGCCCTGGATGTCCCCGTCGCGGCCACAACAGCAGCAGCAGCAGCAGCAGCAGCAGCAGCAGCAGCAGCAGCAGCCGCCGCGGCGGCAACATCAGCTGCGGGGAGAGGGGGTGCTGCCTGTCTAGGCCATAAACCGAACCAATTTGCTCTGCACCACACTGTTGTAGACACAGTTGCATGTTTCAAGTCGAGGTGTATCTTTGTGCACAGCCCTGCAGCCCACAGCCCTTGTGGGCGCCTGTGCACCACAATTGAACCCGGACCGCGGAGCAGCCCCGGCTTGACTTATGCGTGCCGGCTTCGCCTTTTTACAACGCCGCCGGCCGAAGAGCGCCGCGCTGGCTGCAAACCTGTAAAGGTAGCTTCTTGGTTACTCGGCACCCAAACTACGCAACAAGAGGATGAGGCACGCAACTGATGCGGGGCGGCAGGCGGATCAGCTGATGGCACGGCTGTCCCCTACTTGTGTGTCAATCACCAGCCGCAGGCTGTCATCAGGCAAGCCGGCCCCGCCGCCCTCAGACCCCAACTCGCCCCCGCACCCCTCCTGCCTGCCGCCGCTGGCCTCAACACCCCCCTCTTCCCCAACTGACCGCTCTCTCTCGACCCCGTCAGATGCCTCCCCCGGCCGGTCCCTCGCCTCGCCGCCCTTACGGTCACCGCTGCCGCCGCCCCCGCGGCCGCCCTCATCGTCACTGTCTGACGCCATGATCTCCAGCAGCATAGCATCCTCGTCCACGTCAGCGGCGTCCACATCAGCGTCTCCCGCGCCTGCCTCCTCCTGCTCCCGCTCACCGTCGACGAACACCGATGCACGGGGTGCCGACGGTGGCACGGGTGCTGCCGTGGCGCTGTCGTCCCTTCGTCCGCCGGTGGGGCTGGCCGCCTCTCTTTTGCCCTCTGAGACCTGCTGCTCCTCTTGCCTCTGCTGCTGCTGCTGCTGCTGCTGCTGGTTGGATGGCGACGCCGGAGCCGCTGTGGCGCGCATTGCATCAAAGTCGTCGTCATCGTCGTCGTCGTCGCTCCAATCTGAGTGTGGCACAAGAACCAATGTAAACGTGGAGTTAAGAACGGCGAAGGGCACCAGAAATACATTTGACACACATACACAAACACTAACACATGCACACACACACACACACACACACACACACTCACACACACACACACATGCACGCAAACACATTCAGACAATGAAGGCTATCTTTCAGCGTTCACAAACTGCCGTGCCCACCTGCAAGCGCCCGCCGCCGCCCGCCCGCTGGCTGGCTGCGCCGCGCCACCACAGTCGGCCCCGCGTCATCGTCCTCGAGGCCCTCCCCCCCATCCTCGTCGCCGCCGCCGCCACTGCCACAAGCTGGGGCTGCTGCCGCTGCAGCCGCTGAGGTTGGACCGGCAACCCCGTTGGCTGGCCGGGGCGCCGCAGCCGCGAGGGGCTGGCCGGGTGTCTCGTCAAAGGCTTCTGGCACGGCTTCCATGGCAGCATCCTGGGGTGGGAATATATGTGTGTGTGTTTGTGTGTGTGTTTGTGCGTGCTTGTGTGTGTGTGTTTGTGTGTGTGTGTGTGTTTGTGTGTGTGTGTGTGTTTGTGTGTGTGTGTGTGTGTGTGCACGCGTGCGCGCATACTGTGCATGAATGCACGCGCACGTCCAAGCATGTGTGCGTCCAGCTGGGCCAGGTTGATGTAACTGTGATTGGAAGCATGCGAAGCGAAAGGGGCTGGAGAGGCTTGTCACGTCTTGACCAGCCTCTCAAACCCCGCAGGCACCTGTCACCAGACCCGGGGCGCTGCGCTGCAGCTGCCGCGGCTCACCCAGTGCTCCTCTGCCTGCAGGGCCAGCAGCTCGTCGTCATCCAGGTCGTCAGCAGGCTGACCCCCACCCCCAGGTTGACCTGCAGCTGCGCGGAGGGGGGGGGAGGGGTGAAAGGACCGTGACATGGCGCGCAGGAGGGGGTGGGAGGAGGGCGGCCAGCGAGGAGGCCACGGCGCCTGAAACGTGGCGAGCCTGCGCCTGCGCCCAGCTGCTCCTGCCGTCATCCGCCCCGCACCCACGCGTGCCTGCACGCCCCCGGTGCCTCCCACCCCGCACCTGCACCGCCGCCGGGCGCCGCAGTGCCAGCGGCCGCGCCCGGCCCCGGCCCTGCGCCCTGTCCCGCGCCCGCGCCGCCGTCCGCGCCCGTTGCGCGCCTCCACTGCTCCTCCGGGGCCAGTGGCTCCTCCAGCTGTGGGTCCACCATCTTGCCCAGGCCCTGGCGCATCATGCGGAGCTCAACCTGCGGCGCGAGGGGGCACAGGCGCGCAAGGCAACACGCATGGGGCGTTGCGTGGTGCAGGCCCGGTCGGGAGCGCGGAGCTGGGCCCTGTGCCGCCCCCGCGACGCCCTTGGGTTGCACCCTCTGCTGCGCGCCCCGCTCCCGGGCCCGAACCCGCTCCTCCGCGACCCGACCCGCGTCATGGAGCACACCGTTGCATGATACCCCTTCGCACAGAAGGGGTTCTAGGACCCCCACAACGCCCCTTGCCCCCCCTGCCCCAAACACCCGGCTCAAAACCAGCCCCCATCCCCAGTGGCGTGCGCACCCTGAGCTCTGCGCTGCTGCTGAGCCGCTCCAGGGAGGCCTGGAACTGGTCAAAGGTGCCGTGGGGGAACACGCGGTGCTGCCACCGCTGGTACAGCTCGATCAGGCGCCGCAGGTCACGCACCTTTGGGGGGGGGGTGGTGGTGTGAAAAACACGGCGCGTGCACAAATGTTGCGTGACACACGGCTGGCGGCTTGGGCCAAGGCGCTAACGGGCCAGCGGGCGTCAAGTGGTCCCAACCGCCCAGCCGGTCCGCTACTCCACGTGCACGCGTCCGCGCTCTGTGCCACCGTGCGGCTGCCCCGTTGCGCAACCGTTGCACATCTGACCACCCACCTCGTGGCCCTTGCCGCCAAAACCCTCGGCAAAGTATTTCGGAAAGTTCGCAAACACATCAACCAGGCCCTCCGGTTGCTGGGTATGATGTTGTCGGCAAGCGAGTGGTTGTGTGCTTAGATATGTGTGGGGCGGAAGATCGGGGCGGACAGCTGCGAGCAAGGCAGAGGAAAGCCACCCCTGACAGGGGCGGGGACCTACTCGTGCTACCTGCCATCACACATCACCAGCCGCACCTCCCGCAACCACGGCCCCCCGCCCGCTGCCGTGATGCAGCCCCGCACGTGTGATTCAAGCCGCGCGGGCGTTGCAACCCACCCTGAGCGTGGCGACCGTGAGCTTGGCCCGCTTGCGCTGGACGATCTTGCGCTTGGCGCCCTCCCCCTCGCCCTGGTCCTCACCGCCGCCCGCACCGGCGTCACTACCTTCGCGGCCGCGCTTGGGCCCCCCCTTGGTGTTTGCTCCCCTGCACATAAGTCAAAGAAGGAGGGGCGAAGGGCCTCACGCGCGCCATCAGATGTGCCCTGACTGGCTGGCGGCGCTTGAACATGTCGTTTTGGCGGGTTGAGCGTTCGCGTCGCCGCCGTCTGCCAGAAGCCTCAGGCGCACGCACCGCCCGTGATCAGCCCCAATATCCTCCATATAATCCTCTGCCACCTCGGCTTCGGACATGATGAAGCGTTGTGGATGGACCACTCAGATCGTGGCTGTCACTGGCCTGCAATGCATCACCTCTGAAAGAAAAAAGAACAGCTCTTCGTATTGACTTCACAGCATGCACACACACAGCAGGCAGTCGTGGTTTGAATTCCCACCTCGGAAAGAAGAGGACACCGGACCGCCACATCAATTCCTGGAAGACGCCCTCATCAACCGCGGTTCCTACACAACCAGACACTTCTAATCGAGGATTGTGTTTGTCTCGAACCAGCTTTCCTCGCAACGGACAGCATTGCCGCTGATCACACCTCATCAGTTCACCTGCGCGTCACGAGCACACCGCAAACAGGCAGGCATCATGCAGTCCCTCGCTTCAGGCCGCTCTTTCGGCCCCCTCCCCGCGCAAAGGAGCGTAGCACGCAGGGCCGATGCCCTCAGGGCCTCTGTCCTGGGCGTGCCCAGGCGCCCCGGGGCGTATGCCAAGTGCGGCGCGCAGAAGATCGTGAGTTTTCTGCCTTTTACTCCTTCTGGTTGGCTCACGCGTCCCTCGCGGGGCTGAAGCAGACGTTTCGCTCTGTGGCACGAGCGTCACCGCATGCCGCGGGCTTCACATGGCCGGCCAAGCGCTTGCCGGGGAACGTGTGAGGCCCTTACACGAGCTTAGAGGCAGCAGAGGTGCCCATGCAGCCCAGGTGCAGAGCACCACCCCATGCACCACACCTGTGCGCGCGCTGCTACGCACCACACAAGCAGCCACGCAAAGTCGCACCCTTGACGACTGCGCCTGTAGCGTCTTTGCAGCTCATCTTGTCTCACAACTTTTCTTTGCCTGCGTCACACACTGTGTTTGCCCGTGATAACAAACGCCGCAGAGCAATGACCTGGCCCAGGAGCTGGTGCAGAAGGCCCCTGCCACTGCTATGGCCGGCCTCGTCGCTTTCCTGATGGCCGCCACTCCCAACGCCGCCGTGGCCGCTGACACTTTCGCGCCGCCGGAGGGCGCCACCACGACCACGACGTTTGCTGAGCGACCCGCACCCCAGAGTCTTGCACTGGGTGGCGCGTCGGCCGGCCAGCAGGCGCCCGCGCTGCGCGACGAGGCCACGGCTGGGCTCCCCGAGGGCAACCAGTGGCGCTACTCTGAGTTCATCAACGCCGTGCAGTCCGGCAAGGTTGAGCGCGTTCGCTTCAGCAAGGATGGCACCATGCTGCAGGTGTGCACAGAGCCGACAGGAAACAGGGGGCCAGAGCCCAGCACCTGCGTGCAGGCCCGGCACACGTACTGCCAGCTCAGTTCGTGCTGCTAGACCGAACACCTGTTTGGTACAGTGGCACACTTGGAGCACACCTGCTGCAACGGCTTCATGCCTGTCGCGGCACCTCAGCTTGTAACTATCGTACACACTGCCTTCCGCCTCAGCTCACGCCCCCTCACCCACACTGTCCTGGCGCAGCTGACGGCCATCGACGGCCGCCGCGCCACCGTGGTGCTGCCCAATGACCCAGAGCTGGTGGACATCCTGGCCAGGAACGGTGTGGACATCAGCGTCTCCGAGGGCGAGCAGCAGGTGCGTGTGGGGCACGCGAGTGCTGTGAGGGGCACACGCACGTCACCGGTGGGCGCCTTGGCAGGTGCTCTGAAGATGTGATCGGGGTGTACCCCTTGCGATTTCTGCCACCTGCTTGAGCGGCAGTCTGCATTTTTTGGTGTACACTCTCCCCGTAGGCCTCCAGCTAATCTTTGCCTTGACGACCCTCGCAACCGCCTCTACCCCCATGATGTACAGGGCAACTTCGCCGCGCTGCTGGGCAACATCCTGTTCCCCCTGCTTGCGTTTGGCGGCCTCTTCTTCCTGTTCCGCCGCTCTCAGGGCGGCCAGGGCGGCGGCCTGGGTGGCGGCATGGGTGGCGGTATGGGTGGCCCCATGGACTTTGCCAAGTCCAAGAGCAAGTTCCAGGAGGTGCCGGAGACGGGTGTCACCTTCGCCGACGTCGCGGTGAGTGGTTGAACTGCACTGCTGCGGGCGTCCCGCATCGGAGATCACCCATAGGTTGGCACCTAGCCCGGCCGCCTCGCTGCAGTGCATCTTAGCTTCGAGGGAGCCCCTGGGCATGCCGCCGGTTCGACATCTGGGCGCATCCCTCCGCGGCCCCCTAACTCACCCCCCCCCCTCTCCAGGGCTGCGATGGCGCCAAGCTGGAGCTGGTTGAGGTGGTGGACTTCCTTAAGAACCCCGACAAGTACACCGCGCTGGGCGCCAAGATCCCCAAGGGCGCTCTGCTGGTGGGTCCCGCGCCCCTACGGCTGGCAGCCTGCGGGATTGTTTGGGGGCACGAGCACTGGGCGCGAGGGTTCTCCCACAGCTGTGAGACTAGGACCCTTGCATCGGTCAACCTGGAATGTTTCGGTCGGCCTGGAGAAACTGGAGAGAGAACAGCAGTGTGGCTGCTCAATGCGCCCGCCATCTTCTGAGTTTCGTGTACGTCCCTGCGGCCCCAGGTTGGTCCCCCTGGTACCGGCAAGACCCTCCTGGCCAAGGCCGTGGCTGGTGAGGCTGGCACCCCCTTCTTCTCCTGCGCCGCCTCTGAGTTTGTGGAGCTGTTTGTCGGCGTGGGCGCCAGCCGCGTGCGCGACCTGTTTGAGAAGGCCAAGGCCAAGGCACCCTGCATCATCTTCATCGACGAGATCGATGCCGTGGGCCGCCAGCGCGGCAGCGGCATGGGTGGCGGCAACGACGAGCGCGAGCAGACGATCAACCAGCTGCTGACAGAGATGGATGGCTTTGAGGGCAACACGGGCGTCATTGTGCTGGTGGGCCTCATCGCACTGGCAACCGCGCTTTTGGGGGCGCATGCGCTTCAGGGAGGGCGACGCGAAGGCCTGCACGGGCCCGGGGGGGTGGGGTGCTTGTCGCAGTGCCTAACCCTCATCCCAGTGCGTTGGACTGGGCGCGGGAGAAGAGGGTCTCATAGTTGCCACCTCGCTGCTTGTGCCATGCCCTCACCCCTATTCTGCTATCTCTGTCCTGGCACACCAGGCCGCCACCAACAGGCCCGATGTGCTGGACCAGGCCCTGCTGCGCCCCGGCCGCTTTGATCGCCAGGTGGGGGCCTGAGATGTGTGCTTATCAGCGTGACTCCCTCGCTTCTGCAAGCTTGCACGAACCAGCAGGTTTGCCACTTAGTCCGCGCCAGACCTGCCGGGCTCATGCAAGCAGCAGCAACGGTCCAGCTCGCCACCCCTTATCGCCACCAACCCCTCGTTGCCTGTCACCAGGTGACTGTGGACCGCCCTGATGTCCAGGGCCGCGTGTCCATCCTCAAGGTCCATGGCCGCGGCAAGGTGCGCAGCTGGCGACGTGTCAATCGCCGATACGATGCAGGCCCCCTGCCACTTCGCTACGCGCCAAGTGTGTGCACTCAAAACAAGGTTCATGTCGCTTGACGCAAGCCATGCGTTGATCCCCTATCCCCCCCCCAGGTGCTGTCCAAGGACGTCGACCTGGAGAAGGTGGCGCGCCGCACCCCCGGCTTCACGGGCGCCGACCTGCAGAACCTCATGAACGAGGCCGCCATCCTGGCCGCGCGCCGCGGCCTGCAGGAGATCTCCAAGGACGAGATCGCGGACGCCCTGGAGCGCATCATCGCGGGCCCCGAGAAGAAGGGCGCCGTCATGAGCGACAAGAAGAAGAAGCTCGTGGCCTACCACGAGGCCGGACACGCGCTGGTGGGGGCCCTCATGCCCGACTACGACCCCGTGACCAAGATCTCCATCGTGCCGCGCGGGGCCGCGGGCGGCCTGACCTTCTTCGCGCCGTCAGAGGAGCGCCTGGAGAGCGGGCTGTACAGCAGGACTTACTTTGAGAACCAGATGGCGGTGGCGCTGGGCGGCCGCATCGCGGAGGAGCTGATTTTCGGGGAGGACGACATCACCACCGGTGGGTGGGGCGCGCGCGTTGGGGGCCCTGTGCTTGCATGTCTCATCGGTGGAGGGATTAGGGGCAGCAGTGTTCTTGCAAAGGTGGCCTGCGGGGGAGGCGTGCAAAAGCGCCCCCACTCTCATTCGCCACATCCGCAGCTCTCTGCTCCCACACATCTGCCCAGTGCGTCGCCCTCTTCTTTGCTGCTGTCGACCTCAGTCATCCAAACCTGTCCCCTCCCACCCTGCCCCCCTTCAACCCTGCCAGGCGCGTCTGGTGACTTCCAGCAGGTGACCCGCACCGCCCGCCTGATGGTCACGCAGCTGGGCTTCAGCAAGGCCCTCGGCCAGGTGGCCTGGAGCAGCGGCGGCGGCAACGCGTTCCTGGGGCAGTCCATGGCGCAGCCCGCGGACTTCTCCAGCCAGACCGCGGACGAGATCGACCAGGAGGTGAAGTCGCTGGTGGAGCGCGCGTACCGCCGCGCCAAGGACCTCATCCAGTCCAACATCGACATCCTGCACAAGACGGCCGCCGTGCTGCTGGAGAAGGAGAACATTGACGGTGGGTTATCCCTGGCATGTGGGGCTGCTGGGCGGCCTGGGTCTGTGATTGCGCTGCGGTTTGCAACGGATGGTGTTGCCAGGTGGTGTTGCCGGTCCAGCACCCTGGGGTCCCCCCGAAGTGTCACCTACCCAGCCCAGGGCGCAAAACTTGACTTACCCCCGCCACCTTTTTGTGCAGGCGATGAGTTCCAGCAGATCGTCCTGGAGTCCCAGGCGCAGCAGTACCTCAAGGGCGACGCGCCCGGCGTGTCCATCCCTTACCAGTAAACGCCATCCCGCCCTACCTGGAGCAAGGGTGACGCGCAGCGCCAGCTGGGCTATACCGCCGCACCCACCCGCCATTGGGTCGTAACAGCGGACGGGCTGATTTTTTGGATGTCTGATTGTTTGCTTTCGTGAGGCTGCGTGGGCGTGCATGAGCAACAGGCTCTTGCCAGCAGCGGCGGCAGGCACGTCAGTGAGCGTAGCGTGTTTGTGTCCTGAAACGGGATGCGCCCGGGCGCTCCCTAGGGCGCCATATCGGAGCGTGGCCTTGAGATTCGTGTGCTGTCGCTGCGCTTTCAGGCCTGAATTTTGCGGCCGAACGCCTGCACGGCGCAGGTATGTTCCTGTTGGTGTGATCAACCACTGCACAGGCTGGCCGCACGCGCCTTGCGTACATTCTGCCGCCAGCCGCGGCGTGCACTCCGACGCTTGGCTTGCACGTAGCAATTGGTGTACAGTAAGCCTCTGCAGATGACAACCTGCCACCTGCCACCATTGTTTACGGACGGACCGCTCCTCCTGCTTTGGCGCCGACGCCCCTTGACAGGTGTTGTTACTGATGTGACTGCCCAGGTGCTGCTGTAACAATTTTCATTGCTTCGAGTGAGCTAACGTGCACTATCACGGACACTGGGGAGGCGTAGTGGAGCAGGCGTGACGAGGTCACCTATGTTTGCTGCATCAGGCGCAGTCCAGGACTGCGACATAAAGTACAGCATCCTGTCACGAGGGGTTGGTGCCGCGGGCCATCTGAGTGCAGAGGGGAACTCATGGGAAAGGATATACTTCATGGGTGCGGACGATTACCTGATTGAAATCAGCAAGCACATTTCACTCATTCGAGCCAACTCTGTTGTAACATGCGGGCTGCGACGAGCATGCATTTACCGTGTGGCGCCTGGAGTGGCCACCCACCGCACACATCGAACACATGGCATGTGACCACCAGCAGCATACCCAAGCGATAGGGTTATCCCTAATCGTACGCCTTCTTGCTCAATATTGAAGCTGCTGATACGAGAGTCGCACCGCAACACGGTGCTGGTGTCGCCCGGGAGGCGCCGCTTGCCCATGCACAATAGAGGTGAGTCGTTGCGACCCCAGGGATTTTGGGTGCTGCAGCGCCTTCAGAAGGTCATACCGGTTTATTGATAGCTGCCATATATTGCAGGTTTTCACATTCATACTACGGTACCTTGTACATCGGAGACTTCGCTCACGGTCCTCCGAGTGACGATCTGCTCGGAGGACCCCGCGTTTTCGTGGCATGCAGGCGCTCTCGATAGAAGAAACTGAAAATCTCGTTGACGTGCCCTGCCAGCGCCGTCGGTGGCCCGTTGCTGCGGCACTCGCCGGTTTGGGGCGCCACTGCACCAGCATGGCGCCGCACCGGCTCAGCGTCCTTGCGCCGCTGCTGGTCGCCCTTATTTTGGTGCTAGCATTTGGAAAAAATGCCCATGGGCGTGCGCTGCAGCAGCAGCAGCAGGAGCAGGCCATAGCCAAGACGGCAGGTGGGCAACTAGTCCGCGGTCACAGCTCCCTCTGGCCCAGGCGTCCATGGGTGGGTCGATGGGTGGGTGGAGCGGCACTGCAGCCGCGCGTCACAACCTAGCCCACGCTGCTGGAATCATGTTGCGTGCGGTGCAGGCTTGTGCTTGCCGGTCCAAATGTGCAGGAAGGAAGCAGTGACCGCCACGCAGTGCTCCACGTTTTTCACCGCTCTCCACTCACGCTGCGCTCCACCCTCCATCCCGCCCAGCCAGCAGCGTTGCGGGTTACACCCAGGCGGGCTGCGCAAATGCCAGCATGCTCGCGGCTTGGCACCCCTTCCGGTGAGTAGCAACCTTGGAGGTTTGCTGCGGGGATGCGCTAGGAGTGCAAGGAAGGAGGAGCCTGCACGATTGAAGCTGTGGGCGCATTCATAAGCCCAGGCTCATGCAGGCGTATTCCCTCTGCCCCTGCTCCCGTCGTAAATGACCCAAGCTGTGCAAGTACTGGCATACGTTTTTTGATCTGAATCCGTTCCTTCCATTGAGTGTGCAAAACCCTGGTGCAATTGCACATACCCCTGCCTTTTGACACCCACTCCATCAATATCTCTTCTCAAACGACGTGCACACGCAACACCCCACCCCAACGCAGTCCGGGCTACCACATCACTGCACCCTATGGTGAGGGGTGTGCCCAGCTTGGTATCGCGAGGTGCTTCCAGGGTACGCACGCGTTGGCAGGTCTGGCATCAACGTCGGCGCTGAGCAGTCGCAATACGGCTCTGCAGCACAGCCCCGCAGCTGCACAATCCGTTTGACCTCGTTCGGCCAGAGCGCTGCTCCCCGTCATCCTGCGATGTCGTGGGCGCCGACCCGTCCCCGTTCCTGCCTCTTTCCCCTCTTCCTTCAGGCTGGCTCAACGACCCGCACGGGTATTTCAAACGCAATGGGCTGCACCACCTCTTCTTCCAGGTAGATTTCAGACAACCAGAGGGGCAGCGGACCACGTTCTTGCAGCCTGTGTGCAGTCAGCTGGGTGGCGTTCAACCCATGATGAAAGGGGCGGAATGTCCAGGCGATCCCACCTCTGCGACCATTCAACCTGAATAGCGATTGCCTCCAAAACCTTCTCGCAGTACAACCCCAAGGCGACGGCCTGGGGCGCCCCTTTCTGGGCCCATGTGGTCAGCACCGACCTGGTGCACTGGCGTTGGCTGCCCCCAGCGCTGCTGCCTGACTCTGCCATGGATTTCAATGGGATCTGGAGCGGCGCCTCCACCAGTAAGGACAGAGGCCTTACTTGGGGAGAGGGGCAGCACATCCGTCCTACGTGCACGCTGGGGCGGCCCCGCAGAAACTTGCTTAGCCCTGCCCTGCCAGCTTGAAAAATCGAGGCTGGCTGCTGCGCCCAACATGCGCTCATCATGCGCCACTCTTTCATCATTCCGCCCCACCACTCACCCTCCTCAACGCACATCTCGTCTTGCCCCCTGCTCCCCTCACATTGTGTGCACACTACCCACCAGTCACCGAAGACGGCACCCCGTGGCTGTCCTACACGGCCGCCGCCACCCTGGTGCCAGAGCTGGGCAACTTCTTCCAGTCCCAGGCCCTTGCATCGCCTGCCAACCTGTCAGACCCTTACTTGCGATCCTGGGTCAAGTCGCCTTCCAACCCCGTGCTTGTGCAGACCCCGGTGCGGACTCGCTCATCTGCCCCCTGCTACAGCTGGGCTGTGAAAGGGCGTGTCCTGCGCAGGGGCTCCACCCATGGCTAGCAGCGCCGGGAACACAGCTGGCAGCACCCCTCTCTTGCACATGCACAGCCCCAAGCCTGCAAGCAGGCATGAGAAATGGCTGTGAATGGCTCGACTTTGATGCTGCCTGCCCGCTTGCAAAGCATCCCCGGGTTGCCTCAATGCGTATGAAACCCTGCAGCCAAGCACCCAGCTGCTGCGTTGGGTGTGCCCCCTAAAAACCTCTGCTTCTGCTCTCCCGCACAACCCCCTTCAGCCTGGTGGCACCAACTTCCAGTTCCGAGACACCACCCCAGCCAACAAAGACGTTCGGGATGCTGTGAAGGCTGCCCTGGCCAAAGGCCGCCTCGGCAACACCACCAACCTGCAGGCGCCAAGGTTTGCTTGGGTTGTTGGGACACAGGTGGGTGTGCGGCGGGGGGACGGGTAGGGAGGGCCGCGCAGGCGCAGCCTCGCTTGGCTCTTGCACCCGCCGTCTAGGCTCCGGCAGCCAATGCGGTAAGCGGCCCACAACGTGCGCTGCTTCTCGTTGTTCTCCCACCTCAACCTTGTGCATCGCTCCGCTTCTCTTCATATGTGATTGCCAAACATTGCAGGCATTCTGCCTGGGCACCGCCGCCATCTACACTGCTCCCAAACTGGAGGGGCCGTGGTTGTTTAGCGGAAACCTCTTCAACCAGATGGCTATCGACGGGAAGGTGGGTGCGCTTCCCGGGTGGCGGGTGGCGGGCTGAGGGGTGGGGGTTGGGGCTGGGGTTGGGGCTGGGTCAGGGCATACTTGCGTGCTTGCACGCTTGTGCGTGAGGGCAAGGCGGCATGTTATTGCTTCAACGTTGTCACGGGGTTGGTAAGGGTTGGTGATGTCCTAACACAGGTTCCAGGGGCGGGGCTGCGCTTGGCCGTTGGAGATTGCCCTGTGCAGACGCCAGGGTGGCAACGGCTTGCGGCTGGGGTTGTATAAGCGAGCGTTCGTCTTTGTCAGGACGGCCTTTCAGGTTGGTCTCCTGCTGGCTGGGACAGGCGGGAGGCAGGAGGCAGCTACGCCATTGTGCGCCTCTTATCTGACTCGTTCTGATCTGCCTGGTTGGCGCTAAACGGCTAACCTGGCTGCTGCGACGGTGCTTCTCGGCCATGTTTGCCACGCGCACAGCTGAACGGCCAGTGCGAGGCGGCTGGCAGATTGCGAGGCGCCGCATTTGGAGGCCCCTGCAGCCAGTTCGGCAGCAAGTGCCGCATGTGGGAGGTGGTGGACTTTGCTTCTGGTGCGTTCGCTTTTGGGACAAGGGTGAAGGGATGGTGCACAAGGACCGCCTTGAAGTCATGGCTGCGCGCAAAGCATGATAACTCCCGCAATGGCCGGGGACGGCGGCAGATCCCCAGCCATCGCGGCTGACGTGGCCCCCCAAAACATCTCTCATCCGTCCATCAGATCCGTGTCGGTCTTTGCATGCACCCAAATGCACACCGACCTGCTCCTGCCTGGGCCGGCCACGCACACTCCTCTCATCTGACCCCCCCCCAGTGGCGCCGGGGGTGTACGTGACAAAGTGGAGCGACCAGGACCGCGCACGCACGCCGTTTTCAACCGAGTGGTGCGGCGCCCTCGCTCGCTGCAGCCCAGCGGGGGCCCCCAAAGCAAGCCTGGGGGCTGTTGCAGCACTCGCGCTTGGATCGACCACCCCTCAACACGCTTTGGGCGCTGCCAGCGCACTTTTCATGGCACTTTGCTAATCACGCGTCGCCCTACCAGACACACATACGTTCGCCACCCGCACGTCGGCCCGTCAATTCACCCTTGAGTTTGCAGCTGTCTGGCCCCACCCCTCCGGAATGCGCGCAGGTACGTCATTTCTGACGAGCTGGACCCCAATGCCCTCAAGTTCGGCCCAGCTTTCAACAACATCAACACAGTGACAGCCTCCGCCTTTGACACGCTGCTTACTGGCAGGTGCGCCCAAGGGCCAGCCAGTGTGCGCGGGGCTGGCGGGTACAGCTGCCCCCGCGGTGCCCTGCACAGCACGGTTTCAGGTTGCCTCGCTCGCTTCTGTGGCAACAGCAAGGACCTTTGCCCCTCAGGCTCCTCTTGTTCACAACACTCAGTCATCAACCGACCATGCATGCCACCAATTGCGCCAATTGGCCCCTCCATTCATGCCTGCAGGCTGCGCGGCAAGCTCTTTGCGCCGAAGCAGCTGGATTATGGCAGCACGTATGCCAGCAAGTTTGAGCGGCTAGATGACGGTCGGCTCATCATCAACACGGTCCGAACCGCCGCGCGTCCTCGGCACGCCTGCAACCAGTCGTCTGTGCAAATGCAGTGAATACTGCACTTCGCGCCTTGATTTTGCCTGTTTTTGCGCCGCTGCTTGCATCGGGTTGCAACAGACCCTACGACACACAACACACCTGGCCCTGACTGTGCCACGGCCGTGGCCTTGGCTCCCTCTTCCCATCTCCCAGTGGATTATGGACAGCTTCATTGGCTGCATTGACTCGTGCTCGGACAATACAGCCCCCGGAAATGCTTACGTCAAGCGGGCGCCCTTCAAGGGTGCGCTACAGCTGGCCCGGCTGGTGACCTTCAACCCTGAGACACGCAGCGTGGCGCTGTTCCCCATCGATGAGTCGCGCCGCTTGCGTCACCAAAAGGTGGGTGTCGCATGCGTTGTTTATTATTTTGCCTCCCCCGGTCCCCTCAAGGGAAGAGCAGAGGACGATGGGGTGCGTGGCATGATTGGGGACAAAAATGGCTGTGCGCAGGCGGACAGGGCTGGGGCCGGAGGAGGTGGGCGCCGAAGGATGGGCATGTGGATAGACCGGGTCAACTGCTTGCAGCGCACTTTGGGATTGGCGGTTTTACCACTGCCAGCTGCACCCCTGTACTTCCATCACCTGCATTTCGTTGCGAGGCTTGTGTGTCAACCAGTGCAAGTTCACCAGTGCAAGTTCACCCCTCTCCCAGCAACCTGCATGTGCCTGCCTCAAACCCATTTGCCACCCACAGCTCGTGGACATCGCAAATCCGACCCTACCACCTGGCGGGGCGCCCTTGATCCTTTTGAACGAGTCGCGCATCGCAGCTATGCCCACCCAGCCCTCCGCTGCCGCCACTGCTGCCGCCAACACCTCACGCGCCCACACGCGGCAGCTTGAGGCGCGCTTGCTATTTACGGTTGCTCCCAAGGCCGGCAGCGCCGCAGCGAACTTTTCTGTGGGTGCCCGCTTGCTGCTGGGCGCGGGTGCGTACGTCGACATCACACTTGCAGGCACTGCCGCACCATCTGCTGGCGATGCGCCCCAGGCGGGCCACACGCAGCGGCAGCAGCAGGCAGGGCAAGTTATATCTGCGCTGAGCGTGAGCGTCCAAAAGGCCAAGGTAGGCGGCTACACCCCAGCCACTGTCGAGGGGGGACCAGTCCCGCTGCCGGTTGCGGCGCCGCCACCACTCAACCCTAATGTCTCTGGCGTCACGACTGCTGCTGTCCCGTGGGCTCTGCCCTCAAAGCCGCTAGCTCTCGATATTTGGGTGGACCATTCCGTGCTTGAGGTGTACGCGATGCAGGGGCTGGGACGTGTCACCAGCCGCATATACCCTGCAGACGAAGCAGCTGCGTGGGGCATGAGTGTTTTTGGGTCTGCCGCTGGCGGAAGTGTTGTGTCCCTCAAGGCTGCTGAGGTGTGGTCCTTGGACAACGCTTTTGCAGGGCAGCCTCCCCTGTGCTGATGATGCACGCCAGACTTAGGAAATCAATCCTGATATGTATGTTGACAACAGCTGGTTTCCTTTTGGTGATGTATGTTTATTTGGTGGCTGCAGTTATTGTGTGGGGCCATCCTTGTGGCAATAACAGGCTGGCTTTGACAAGTAACAGCAAAGCTTTTGCATTCGACTTCGTGGCTCACCCAGTGGTTTGGTGGGCGTGCTCAGCTGGTTTCATCAGAAAGTACATCACATAACTGACAATGCAACATGGACTTACACAGATGCATCACAGATGTGATGCCCGCAAATGGCGAGGTTAGTGCAGAGCTCACACTTTATTGTGGTGAACCGCCCCAACTACAAACAAGCAGGTGATGTATGTCGTGCCTACACTCCAGAGTACCAATTACAGCAGATGAGGCAATGTTCTCTTGTACTGCAAGGCAGTCCACATTTCTCGCGTCGTTTCAGCAAGCTGGCTGAACCTAAATTGATCACTCAACAACCACATGCAGCCACCAATGGCACAGGCACAGTGCCAGGCACCTGTGGCGCGATGTGCCACGCAGCTGGCTAGCCGTTTGTGCTTCCCTGTTGACTGACATCACCAAGCCTACTGCAGTTGCAACACACTCCTAGCTCTGTTCGTATCAGCAATTTCTTCGTCGGTCACATGTTCAGGCCTTGACTGCCTGCAGCAGCATGCTCTCCGGCAGACCCTTGATCATTGACGCGGTCAGGTCATCGCTCAGCAGCATCAGCCCTGCAGCAAGGTGACAGCAATGAAGTCAGGCGGGTTCCCCTGCCAAGGAGCAGCACAGCGGCTACTGATAACACCTGTCTTAGCCTAGTGTTTCAAGAAGGGCACCTGGCTGGAATGTTTCTCTGCATTTTTTTTGCTGGCGCGCAAGCCATCTGGCAGGCGGGTAGTAACCCATGCCACTAACATCCCACACACCTGCTTGGGCGCCCGTGCGGGAAATGTTGGCATGCAGGAGCCCAGCGCGAAGCTCCCAGCTGCCAGTGTGTGGCACGAGTGTCACCACCCGCACGTCAGCAGGTCCATCTGTGCCCTACGGTTTGTTGGCGGTGACGCATAAGGTTGAGACTTTTAAAAAACCCGGCATTCAAGCACGACTTGGGCGCAAGCAGTCTGCATGGCAATGTGCGAGGACAAGATTAAGCGGCATTATGAGGTGATTGCTCCGCTGGTGTGCAAGCACTGGTTGTCACGGTTGATACTCCACGCACTTGAGGGCAGTTTTGGCTACCGCACAGATGGGTGACACAGCAGCCAAGTAAGAGGCACACGTGACTCATCATCATAGCCCCTTCCTGGGCCAGGGTAACAGGGATATGATAGGGCTGGGGCTGCTTGACAAAGCTCACCGGCAGCTGCCGCATCCAGATCGCCAGGCGCTGTTCTGGCGCCGCACCCCACTCCTGCAGGCGCTCCGCGCTCTCCACAAGCGACACCACCGGCGCGAACGATGCCACGAGGTTGCCACGCTCGGCGTCCCCAGGTGTGGGGACGTTGCGCAGGTTGAGGTGCTGGATTGCAGGGCCTGTGAGACCAGGTGGGATTCCGGGAGAGCTTACAGTGGTGTGCACAAGGGTTTCGAGTTGAATCGTGCCGTGGTCGTCTCACCGTGGCGGCGACGCCTCAGATGACAAGAAAAATGCTTAGAATACAGCTCATTTTAGCTGTTCCCCTGGAATGCCTACCTGCGTGCTCGCTGTAGGTCACGGGCTCCAGCGTGCCGGTGGGTGCAGCCACGACCTTGTCGGGTTGGTCCAGGACCGCCCGCAGGAAGGCGCGCCTGCAAGCGAGCCAAGTAGCAACGAATCCATAGATGTAAGTACCATGTGTTCATTTCAAGATTAGTAAAACTAACTTGATACAAGGGGGGGGATCAGTGTGCCGTGGGGAGCATGGAGTAGGATCGGCTTGTGCGCCTGCTGACCTCACCCGCCCAATTACTCACACGAAAATGTCCTGACTGGCACCTTCATCTCCTTTCAAGCAAAACGCGTCCCCGGGGCGGAGCCCTGCGCCTGCGATCAATTCTGCGAGGTGCGCAGTTGCTCCGTCGCCCGTGGACAGCATCGTAAATTGCCGTCCAGTCCACTCGGCGGACCCTGCAGCTCGTGCAACGCAGGGTGCGCGGCGCATTGGCAGCCGTGCCCGGAGCGGCACGACGACGCCACCTCCAACGCGCGCTGTAAATGCAGTCTGCATGGGTGATGTGGTTGCCAGGTTGTTGGTTACTACTAAATTGGCATGGTAGGGGCTGTCCGAAGTGCTGATGAGGGCATGGCCATGAGGCAGGCGGACAGTCACAAGGGCTGCAACAGTTTTGTGTGAGGTGTTTGGTGAGCAGGCTTTGCTTTGCTGCCCTATGTGCGTACATACACCAGTGCTCCAAGCTGCGCTATGCGCCATTGTTTGCTACCCGGCCCGCACAACCTCGCATGCACACTCAGTTGCTTACGTAGCGTGGAGCCGCACACATGTGGGGCCTTCGTACACGCCACGGCGCAGACAAAGCACAGTTTACGTATGAATGCTGCATAGACCACTTTAAGGAGCCTGGATTGCCGGCTCCTTTCAGAAATGGATCATCATGGCAATGACTGCCCCGGGACGCTGCGCCAAACCTAATCAATCGGCTCCCAATTGCATTTCACCCCTGCATCATCACCAATGGCCTTTGTGCACA